AAAGAAGATAGACAATAAGTTTGTAAAATTGAGAACTTTTGTACCAAAGTAGTAACTTGAGTGGCTCTTATAGTTATCATTGGAGGGCAGTGAGCAACCAGTTTGGGGGGATTATTTTGAGTACTAGATAAAGCTGCCTCAACATTTGGTCACTTGGAAAGCTAATGGATCTTTTAGGAGGTAGGGCATAGAAGTCACAATGCCAGTTAGACCAAGGCCCAGAGACAGGAAAGTGTGATAAGGACTCTGAAATCAAATTTACCACATTGGGAGGCGCCTGTGGCTCAGTGGGTAGGGTGCTGGCCCCATATGCAGAGGGTGGCAGGTTCGAACCCAGCCTGGGCCAAACTGCAACAACAACAACAAAAATAGCTGGGCATTGTGGTGAGTGCCTGTAGTCCCAGCTACTTGGGAGGCTGAGGCAAGAGAATCCCCTAAGCTCAGGAGTTGGAGGTTGCTATGAGCTATGATGTCACAGCACTCTGCTAAGAGCAATAAAGTGAGACTCTATCTCTAAAAAAAAAAAAAAAAAAAAAAAATTCATGACGTCTAGGGAAGGGGCCAAGGTGCCACACAAAGGCTTCCCCATTTGGAGAAGTGGTTTGACCTCTGCAGTAGAATAAGCATGTGCCATAACATGTCAGCTCCACAAAAGAGCTGGCTATGGAGTGGTGGTAACTTCTAGCAGTGAGAACAGGTGAGCACAGAAAAGGAGAATGAACTGCAACATGCCCCCCACCCCTTGCTCCTAAAGCCACTGCTCCCGGCCTCTGTGCAAACCTCTCACATTTATGCCCCCTCCCCTGGTTGGGATATACCCCCAAACATATGAACCAGGAATCATTCAGACCTGGATTTATTTATCTTATTTATTTTGCAGGTTTTGGCTGGGGCGGCATGCATATGGGGCTGCGCCCTACTCCTTTGAGCCACAGGCACCACCCCCTCAGACCTGGATTTAAATTCCACTTCTTGTACGTCCTGGCTGAATGACTTTGGAAAGTCACTTTACCCCCTTGAGCCTCCATTCAGTTATCCCTTCAACATGTATTAAGCTAAGCACTATTCTAGTCATATGCAGTGGTATGCAAGAGAAATAAGGTCGGGGTGGGTCAGTGGCTTATGTCTGTAATCCTAGCACTTTGAAAGGCTGAGTGAGGCAGGAGGATCGTTTGAGGCAGAAGTTCAAGATCAGCCCAGGCAACATAGTGAGACCTTACCTCTACAAAAAAAAATTTTTTAAAGAGACAAGGTCCTACCTTTACGAAACTTACATTTTGGTTGGGGAAGATGGACAATAAACAGTAAGCACACACATACATCAGGAAATACCTTACAGAAACATTAAGGTAATACAAAAACAATTTCAGAGGCAAAGACTCCTTTAGCCAGAGTGATCAGAAAAGTCCTCTCTGACTTGGTGACATCTGAACTAACCTGAAAGAAGAAAGAGCCAGGCAAGTGAACATAAATGGAAACAGCAAGTGCAAAGGCCTTGTGGTAGAAGCAAGCTTGTTGTGTTTGGGAAACAGAGGGAGCGTGCAAAAAATATGATCTTTGTTTTGAGAATACTGGTTGGTGTATAAAGTCTTTAGGGTGGGGCCTGTGGCTCAGTGGGTAGGGTGCCGGCCCCATATACCAAGAGTGGCAGGTTGGAACCTGGGCCCCAGCCAGCTAAAACAGCAATGACAACTGCAACAACAACAACAACAAAAGCCGGCGTTGTGTGGCAAGCGCCCGTAGTCCCAGCTACTTGGGAGGCTGAGGCAAGAGAATGGCTTAAGACCAAGAATTGGAGGTTGCTGTGAGCTGTGATGTTACAGCACTCCACCGAGGGCTACAAAGTGAAACTCTGTCTCAAAAAAAGAAAGAAAGAAACAAAGTCTTTAGGGGCAAAGCAGGGAGACTACCCAGAGGCTACTGCCATTGCCCAGGTGAGTTGATAGTGCCTAAACCAGGTGGTAGGGCTGGAGGGTCCCATGGAAGAAACTGTCAGAGACAGATGGGGCAGGGAAAGGGAAAATGAGAGACAGAGCAAGGCTCTGAGGTTTTGGCTTGAACAATCAAGATGGGGGTGAAGAGGGACATCAGGAGTTAGACTTTGGCTGTGTTGTGTTTGCAGTCCCCACTTGATACCCACTAGAGGCGCACAGTGGGGCAGTTGGCTAGAAGTCTAGATCTTAGGGACGCTGTTCAACTTGCAACTTGGAAATACAAATCTGGGATCATAGAAAAGAAAGAAGAGGCCTGAGACCATCGACTTTAAAATGAGGCTAAGGACAACTCCACCCACAGAGTTCTCGCGAGGTGTCACGTGAACGCCGCCGGCTATAGCTGGGATAAGGGCTGAGAATCTCGGCAACTCCAAGACAGCTGCAGCCCGGGGGCGGAGCCTCCATGGAGGCGGGGCCTGTACGAAGGCGGAGACTGATCGGGGGCGGGGCCGAGGGGCTGGTCGGCCTCTGGCGGCCGGGGGTGGTGACGTCACCGCATGACTGGGTTTTTATGAATGAAAGGAATCCTGTGAGTGAGTAATTCCGGGAAGCTCGCCTTACAACTCTGCGCGGCCCCGGCCCCCTGTGCCGCCCGCCTCACAACAAAACTCAGCGTCGCACTCCCGGGAGTTCGGTTCGGAGCGACCTGCGGTTCGGACCATAGAGGACGCAGACCAGAGGACCGGCTGGGACAGCAGACGGGACAACAGCGAAACGCGCGCGCGCGAGGCGCTCCAGGCCAAGGCAGCCGAGAGGCGGGTAAGGAACGCGGGTACTGGAAGGGGACGCCTGGCGGACTCCGAGGCGGCAGGGTTTCTGCGCCTGGGGACGTGCCTGGGGCGGGCGCCGGGCCGGATCCCTCGGTGCTCTTGTGGATCCATCGCAGGGACAGCTGGAGTGCGGGAGAGGGAAGCAGCGGTCCGAGGAGCACCGAGACCGGCCGAACTAGCTCGGCGGATGGGGTGGATATGGGGCCCCTTCCCGGGGCGCGGGCGGAGAGGCGGCGGAGCCGGGAGGAAGGGGCAGCACAGGCTGGAGAGCGTTAGCGTCCGCCCAGGCGGGGGCGGGAGCGGTGTGTGCATGTACGTGACTCGGTGAGAACAGTCTCTGGACCGGTGCCCGCGGGCCGTGCGAGAGAGGTTTGTTTACGTCCGAAGGCAGGCGTGCGTGCGTGCGTGTGTGTCCCCTGGCGATCGTCCTGCGTATCCTTCCCGGTGCGTGCGTGCGCGGTGTACTTCGGGGTGTGTGTGTGTGTGTGTGTGTGTGTCCGTGTCTGCGCCCGCGCGCTCCCTGGGGCCTGTATACCAGCGGTGTGTACCTCAGAGAGGGTGTGTCCTGGGGTGTCCACAAGAGTAAATACGAAATAAGAATTTGAGCGAAGGAAGCCCACGGGTCAGTGGTCACGCAGGGTTTGGGAATTCTCAACCCGGGAGCTCGCTCTCTCTTACCAATCAGGGCTGCCGGGCCTCCGCTTTCCGCGGAGTTTCCCAGGGCAGCCACCATGTGACCCCAGTGTTTGTCCCCACCGCCCAAGTTGGTACCTGCAGCCATGGGGTGGGGCGAGGTATCAAAGATCCGACCCAGTTGAGTTAGGAGTGAAGCTAGGGAGCCACCCTTCACCCAGCACCCAGGTAGATCTGGTAACAGAATGAGTTGGAGCCCAGATCTTTGTCCCCGGGTTTTCAGTCTCCCTGGGGAGAGAGGACCCTGGTGACTCTTCTTCACCCCCAGAGTTGCCCATCCCCTCAGTCTCAGGAAAAAAACAGGAAGGGCCAGAAAACCCATGGCAAAGGGGGTGGGGGGACAGGGAGGGAATCCCAGGCTTCCTCTCTTTGGTGGCTTCTCGGGCTGGTCTGGGTTCTGGAAGCCGTATCTGCTGGGTAGCAGAGGATGAGGTGGAGCTGGTTTCTGCCCTCAGGTAGTTTCAGTTCATAGCTGGGACTAGTCAAACGGAACCTATTGACAACCAGACCCCAGGAGCTGGTTGAGGACTTGTGCCATCTAGCAGACCCCGAGTCCTTACTCTGGGCTAGGCAGGGTCAGCAGGTAGAGGGGACAGGCACTTTTCCTGCTTGCAGATTTATGTGTAAGGGGTGGTGCCTGAGCTAGCCCCACCCACCCACTCACCCATCAGCCCTGCAGAAAGCACCTGAGTATAGAGCTCTACTGCTATAGCCAGGATTCTCAATGTCCCATCTGCAGCTGGAACTAGGCCAGGAACCCCTCAGGCCAGGAGCCAGGGATATCCAGGAGTATGTGGGCTTTGAATAGAGGGGGTTGCAGTCAGGAGCACAGGAACTAGGCAGGCCCATCCTCAGAGCTGGGCAGGAAACATCCTTGTGTAGGGCCCAGGGTCAGGGCTGAGGGGAAGTGGCTGTTGACTCAGTCACAGATGGAAAGTTAGCATTGAAAGGTTTGACCTCCCACTGAATCACCCCAGGGCTCCCTAGGGCCAGGGACCCAGTGGGCTCCATCAGTCCTGATGTTTCTATTCCTACATCGCTATTGGGCCCCTGCTGTGGCCAGATGCTAGGAATGAAACCATGAACAAACCAGATCCAGAAACCACCCTCTGGGAGCTCACAGCTGAGTAGGGGAGACAAAGGTGAAGAAAGAGCCACAGAACTAAATGCAAAGCCACAGCTCCTTATGGGTGGTATGAGAAGTCACTGTGGTTTAAAAGTATATATGGGGGGGGTGACACCTGTGGCTCAGTGGATAGGGCATGGGCCCCATATACTGAGGGTGGCGGGTTTGAACCTGGCCCTGGCCAAACTGCAAACACAAAATAGCTGGGCATTTGTGGCGGGCACCTGTAGTCCCAGCTACTTGGGAAGCTGAGGCAAGAGAATCGCCTAAACCCAGGAGTTGGAGGTTGCTGTAAGCTGTGATGTCACAGCACTCTACCAAGGATGATAAAGTGAGACACTGTCTCTAAAAAAAAAGAAAAGCATATATCAGGGGTTTGACTTAGCCAGGGTAATCAAGGGAGGCTTCACTGCAGCAGTGACTGAGTCTGATGAAGTGGTGATATTAGTGAAGCCCCTGAAAGCAGACACTTTCATCTTTAGGCCTTCAAGGCCATACACAGAGACTTGCACACAGTAGGTGCTTCTTGGATGTTTGCTGATTGAATGAATGAGTACTGGGTCCATGTCCTTGAAAAGCTCCACAACACATGGAAAAAATGGTCTGGGAACTCCAGAGAAGCAGGAAGCCAGGGCAGGGGCTGGAGGATTCTTGAAGCAGTCTCCCAAACCCTTCAGGACTCAGGTGACTTCCTCCCTCACATACACTCACACACATTCACTGCCCATTTGTCCCTTTGGAAAACAAGCAGGGACAGTGGAATTTCTTGTCTGTTCATTCTGATAAGTAAAATGATATCCAGATCAAAACACACTAGACCGAATGTAACAAACATGCAAGAAAGTTTATTTCACACTTGAATACAAGTGTGAAATAAAGATCTAAAAGATCTCAGCTTTAAAGAAATAAAGATCTCAGCTCTTCGGCTGAGATCTAAAGAGATGTCAGCAGCCCTAGGGCAGGAAGCAGATCTTTTATGGCAGGCTAAAGAGGCAGCTGGTTTCTATCAAGTACTACCAAACTGTTGTTCTTATCAGGGTGTCAAAGATGTTATCTTATGTTTGGGACTCTACTGGCTGGCAGAGCTTTTATTAGTCTGAGGCTTACAATGGCAGCATATTTCTCATCTGTCTGTAATTGGGCCAGTGAGCTATGACCACCTGTAACTGTCTCATAGAATGGCTTTTCAGTTCAAGATAGGGTTAGCTTGGCCAATCTAACACATTCATCTGTTGTTGGCATGTGATCCCAGGAGAGGGAACACAGTAGGGGCCTGTGTGGGCTGGAGGAGAGCTGGCATTGCAGGGTTTAAATGGTCTAAACATGGTCATGTTCTTGGGTTTGCATCAGAGATGATCCCTCTGATAGCTCTTCGGGGACGATCAATGGTGAGGGATGGAGATGGAGGCAGGTGACTAGAGGCCAGTGAGCTGTGGTCATGGTCCATATGAAATAGGAAGTGGTCCCTGGCTGTGTAGGTGGAGCAGAGGGTCAAGGCTGATGGTCTGGAGGGAGGTCCATGCCCACTGCTCTTCTTCTTCCAGTACTTCCTGGTGGTTTTGGAACTCTGGGTCAGAATCTGACACCATCAACTTGGAGATTGTCATTGTTGGAAGGTACCTTAGGCTAAGAGGAAGTTTAGCATGAAACTAAGGCCCAGAGAGAGGGAGTGACATACCTGAAGTCACACAACAAGTGAGAGTGGGTGGCAGAACTGGGGCTGGAAGCCCAGGCCGTGGCTTCCCTGTGTTGCTCCGTTCTCCCAGCCTTGCTGGCTCCCCTGCCAGCAGGGCGGAGGCTCCATCAGTGCTTGCTGCCAAGACCCAGGAAAACACATTTTTTCCCTCTGTCCTCACAGAGCAAGCAAAATGGCTCAGCAGCCCAAGGAGCCCATGCCAGTGGGTGGGGATATCTCTGGGATGGACTAGGGGGCCAGGGAGAGGGACGTAGAAGGGCTTGTAGTCGCTAACTGGGCAAGGCAGCTGTCTGTCCCCTAAGAGTAAATGTGCTCCCTAGGCCTCCAAAGAACATAAGGAAGCTGCACACCCTGGAGGGTAGCTCTGCTGGCTTCTGGGGGGAAAAACTGGGGAGCAGTGCTGGCGACTGGCGTGGAAGAGGGAGCAATGAGCTGGGAATCAGGACCCCTGGTTCTGGCCCATAAGTGCCACTAAACAGCTCCTTGATTGCTTCAATTGCAGAACAGGGCTTGGATCAGCTGCTGTCTCAGGCCCAGGGTCAGCCAGGTGGGCAGAGCCAGAGGACCCAGGGCCCTCAGCTTATAGCCCAGCAGCCCCTGGCCTGGGGCTGGAGGCTGAAAGCCTGAGGTTACTGGAAAGTTCCCCGTTCTTGCGACTTTCCCTCCATGACTGCCTGACTTTGCTGAGCTGGGACATTCTGGGCATATGTGGGTGCCTCAGCTGACATCCAACATGTAATTGAGGGGGCTGAGGCTGGGACCAGAGGGCATGTAGGACAGAGCAGGTTCAGAGCCTTTCTAAGTCCTAAGGGCACTTAGAATCACAGCTAGCTTCACTGTTTTCTAGACTGCTCAGCTCTATTCTGGAGGCACTGTCAAGAAAGATTCTGAAGTTTTGTCCAAGCTCAGTGGAAAGCAGTGCTATGCAGAGAAAGATTTGGAGGCTGCATCTTATCTCATTGGGAGTAAGTGCAGTGATGAGTTAGTGGTATCTAGATGGAGAGTGGGCAAAGGGGTGATGGTCAGAGGGGCTGCCCACCTGCATCCCCCAATCTTGTCTCTTGTATTTTACATACTAACACTATTACGATCATCCCCACTTTACAAGTGAGGATTCCAGGGCCTGGGGGGAAGAATGACTTGTGCCAGGCTATGCCTCTGAGATTTTGCATCAGCTGCAGCACCCAGCACCCAACAGGCCATCAGTTCACCCATGCCTCCCCTCTGCCATCAGATCTTTCTGTGTAGTGGAGACCGCTGAGGTATCACCCAGCACACTAGCTTCCCAAACAGCAGGCAGAGGGGGCCTAAACATTTCAGTGTCATGTGCTATCCTATCCCTAGCAGGTGCAACGCAGATCCTGGCACATAAAACCTGGGCAGCCTTGGAAACCAGCAAGTCCAGCCTTCTCTTCACACAGCCAGAGGAACAGGGCCCAGGAAGATTGCCGTGCCAGGGCCATGGTGGGAGGAGGTACAGGGCTCAATGTCGCCTCAGTCCTCATGTGCTGGCTGTGTGACCCTGGACTACTCTATTGCTCTCTCTGACATTACCTCACTGAATTGTCAGGAGGACCAGGGAGGTGACAGTGTGACAAGATCAGGATTCAGTTCTGGGCCTTTACAGGTGTTCAAAATCCCTCCCCATTTGTAAGTAGGCAGCTAGTCACCTGCTATGTGACTTGAGGCAATTGATGCCCTTCTCTGGGTCTCTACCTCCCCTTGGTAAAGTGAGGAGGGGGCCTGATGATCTGTAAGGGCTTTTCTTGCCATTCCCCATGTGATCCTGGCCAGCTGGGAATGCTGAATCATAGCAAGACCCCAGTGCTGGCTATGAGCGTGACCCCTCCTGGATGGACTCAGCAATTCTAATGACCTCCCAGTTGCTCACTGACCTCTGCAGTTTATACCACTTGGTTCCACCAAAACCCTCCAGGGCAGATACAGTGCTCACCCTAAGGATGGGAAAGTAGAGACCCAGAGAGATGCAGCACATCACCCAAGGTCACACAGCTGGGAGAAAACAGAGATGGAACTTGAACCCAAGCTTGACTCCCAATCCAGTGGCCCTTTCCCTGTTTCCCACACGTCACCTCAGGGCCAGAAGTCATGTGGGTGGGATCCCTTCTGTCCCCTCCCATTCTCCTGGCAGCTGTGCTATTTCTACCAAGCAGAAGCAAGGAGGCAGCTGGATCTTTTCCAGAAGAATTAGACACAGGGCCAGTAGGTTTTTCTCTCAGACTGTATTCAACTAGGCTTGGGCTTGAGGTAGGTTCGGACACTGAACAGCTGGGTGACGGTGTCAGAGACTCCACCCATCCGTCCCTCTCCAGTGCCTGCGCCCTACCAGGCCCTGTGCTGGGCGGCGTCATGCACCCAGAGCTGACTCAGCCTGGTCGCTGCCCGAGGAGCTCCCTATCTGGTGGAAAAACAACAAGGAAATGCCACACATGACCACACAGGGCTGGGAGGTGGCTAACAAGTCCTAGGGGTCAGGGAGGGCTTCCTGGAGGAGATGTGATGTCTGTACTCAGAAAGGATGAGTACGACTGTGTCAGAAAAAGTAGTGGGGAGTAAGGGAGAGGAGTGTCACAGGGTAGGGGGTGGCCCAGAGGCAGGAAAGTGCGGGTGGGAGGAAGTGAAAGAAATTCCTTGTGGCTGGAGCGCAGAATGGCGGTGGCAGTGGTGGGAAACGAGCCTGGGGCTAGACACACAGGGCCTGGGGTGCCCTGAAGGTGGGTCTGGCTCTGTCCTCAGGGTAGCAGGGAACCATGGAAGATTTTAATCTGGAGGTGGCAGGGTCAGTTCACATGCTGGAAAGATTGTCCAGTTGCTGAGTGGAGGACAAGCCAAGGCCAGCAGGGGGTCATCTGAGACCTCCCCTGCACTGAAAGGTAGGATCGGTGAGGGGGATGTATGGTCATCTCCAGGTGGTATCTCTGAAAGGTTCGGGTAGCTGGCAGATTCCATATGATTTGTCCAGGTAGGACAGGGACTATGTACCAAGCGGTCCCCAAAGGAAAAAGGAGAGCTAGGTGGGCAGCAGAGGCTGAGCGCCATAGGGATTGGGGCACTAGGCAGGGAAACCAACGCCAGAAAGGCCTGCATGTCCAGCAGTAGAGGCTGCAGTTCAGGGCTCCAACCCATGAAACCAGCCTTACCCTTGTCCCCGCCAAGGATCAGCACAGGATGTCTAGAGCTGCCTGAGGCCTGACATGGCGCTCTGGGCCTCAGCTTCTTCTAGCAACCCCAGGAAGCCTGGGTGACTCTTAAAATCCTCCCTGCCCAAGGGCCACAGTGGCTGCCTCTGTCAAGTGATCTCTTGGAGTGCCAACTTCCCTTTCCTTTCCCACTCCTTCCTTTTCTCTGAGCAATCAGACCCCCCGACTGTGTGGGCTGGAGGGACTGGGGGTTTCCTGAGAAGCCCTGGACAGTCCCCACCTTGGCCTGAGTCACTCTGAGAGTTTAATGATTATTACTTGAGCATCTGCCATGTCCAGCACTGTTCTAGGCATTGGAAGGCCTAGTGGTGGATGGGACAATAGCTCTGCCCTCATGACACTGGCAGATACGTTACATGTGAGGGACAATGACTACACATAGGGAAAGGTGATGTGGAGAAACAGGAGACGAGTTTAGGGATCACAGGGAGAGAGTGGGGAGGAGGATGCGAAATTGCGTGAGCATCAGATTCAAACAGTCACCTGAAGGTGAGGTTTGCTGAGGAAGCAACCCATGTGGCAGTCTAGTGCACCAGGGTGCCAGGCAGAGGGAACAAGCAGTACGAAGGCCCTGAGGCAGAGCCTGAGTGGTGTTTCAGGAGCAGCAAGGAGGCAGTATGGCTGAGTGGGTGGGTAAGGGGAAACGAGGCAGGGCTGAAGTGAGGGAGGCCAGTGCCAGGGGCCCATCATGCAGTACTTTGTAGGCGCTTTGACTTTACTCTAAGTGAGATGGGAGCCATGGGAGTGTCCTGAGAGAGGCGTGACATGATCTGACTTAAAATGAAACTCCCCTGTGTTACCTGGGGGAAAGTGGGGCACAGAGAGTTTCAGTGACCTGCCAGAATCTCACAACTAGAGAGTGGGACTATGTCCAAAAGGTCCTAGGTCGCTCTGCCATCAAGGTCCATGTGCTTCCTCTGTAGAAGGAGGAGGTCAGCTCTGCAGACAGCTCAAAGAATTAGGGCCTGGCCCCCTGGCTTTCCCCCCTGCCCTCCATCAAAGTGGGTATTGCTGATACTGTGGGAGTTTAGAGGGTGCTGCCCTGTGGATCACAAAGCATCTTCCTACTTTCTCCTTTGTTTTTATACCATCCTTTCCTTTTGGGAGCTATCAGATGAGAAAACTCAGGGTCTCACTGAATGCAGGAGACTGGTTCAGCTGGGGACTCAGGGGCTGCTATAAAGGAGCCTTTGGGAGGTAATCCCCTCTCCAGCCCAGAGAAATGACCATTAGTCCCCAGAATGTACCCTCCATGAGTTTTTATTCCTGTCTTCTCAGTGCCAGCACATTTCTGGCCAATAGTAGCTACTCAATAAATAGTTGTTGAGTGACCATGAGGTTTTATCCTATGAGGGAGGTACTGGGGGCCAGAGGGACCTCATCAGTCTAGACAAGGCTGCCCCCTCTGCCAAGACATATGGAACTACTGCTAGGCAGCCTCAGGAGGTTTGGGAAGCTTTCCCAAAACACAGGTCTGGATGAAGGAGACCCAGGGAAGGGAAGGGACTGGCTATGTCATGTCTTGACAGGGGTCTGGTTGGACTTTGTCAGTCATTGACCAGTTACGTGTTTTGTGTATTTTTCTATATGTAGGTTATACTTCCATGAGACTTCTTTAAAATAAAAGTTTTTAAAAATCAAATCAAATACACATTAGAGCCTCATGTGAAAGAACAGCCTAGGGGAGGGGTGTCTGTTCATTAGGTGGATATTTACTGGGCACCTGCTATAAGACAGGTAAGGCCTCTACCTTCATGAGCTTACATTTTGGCAGAAGAGGGGTGGGAGAGAGACAGAGGAACCAAACACAGAAACTGCAGAAGATGAAGGACACACCTATATTTCGGACTTTAACCTTACAAAAGCCAATTATTGAACCCTATCATATGTACCCCTATATTAATCTGATTTTAGCTGGATTTTCAGCGGGGGCGGGGGGGTGGGGGAAGAACTCCAGAAGAGATGGCTGTCAGGAGGGTTAGTAAAAGGGGTTGTGATGTGACACAGGGGGTGTTTTGGCTAGGACAGTCAGGAATGACCTCTCTGAGGAGGTGGTATTGGGCCTAAATGATAAGGAGTTACTGTGGAGAGATAGGGAATAGTGAAGAGAACAGCACGTGTAAAGGCCCTGAGGCTGGAGTGAGCCATTAAAGGAGGCCATTGTGGCTGGACCAATGTGGACAGAGGACGCTAGTAGGTATGAAGTTAGTTGTCAGAGAGCAGTGGCCTTAAATGCCAAGGTAGTGAGTTTGGATTTTATTCTAAGTGGAGAGAAAAAGTGACTTGATGTCCTTTCTCCCTTAGGTCTCCAGCCCGGAGGACACCTTCCGCAAACATGTCTGGGGACCCCTTATCCAGCAAAGCCCTGAAGGTGAGGAGGCAGCCTGCCTGGTGCTCAGTGAGGCCATCTCTCCTTGCTCATGCAGACCTCATCATCCCTCTTGCTATGTCCCTTCCTGGAACCCCCAAGGGTGGCTCAGCAGGCACCAGGCATTTAGGATGCCAAGGGGAAGGGCCCTGGGAAAGGAGGAAGGCTGGGTTGCTCTACGCAGGGCTCTAACTCAGTGTACCCCCTGAGGAGGTCACTTCCTTCTCTCAACCTGCTACCCCATTGGATCCTGGCCCACTGGGACATTCAAAGTGTTTTCCAGCCTGAGTTTCTCTGGCTGAGCCCCGCGCTTTGGCACTAGGTTGGAATTCAGGCCGAGCCCTGGGGTGGCCTCCTTTGGTGTTCTGATCCTAGTTTGGCCTAGTTTCCCCTTCCCGGATTCCTGTACCCCTTTGGGGTCTTGGATTAAGTCCGGCCACCTTCTCAGTGGCTAAGGCGGTGAAGGGGAACCCTGGGGGTAGAGAAGGGCATCCCCAGCACCTGCTGCGCACCAGGCCCAGGGCTGGGGCCCACAGGCGGGAGTGAACCTATGGGCCTTGGTTTCCCCATGCCCACAGATAAAGCGTGAGCTGAGCGAGAACACACCACACCTGTCAGACGAGGCGCTGATGGGGCTGTCAGTGCGTGAGCTGAACCGACACCTGCGAGGGCTTTCGGCCGAGGAGGTGACTCGGCTCAAGCAACGGCGCCGCACGCTCAAGAACCGCGGCTATGCCGCCAGCTGCCGCGTGAAGCGCGTGTGCCAGAAGGAAGAGCTGCAGAAGCAGAAGTCGGAGCTGGAGCGCGAGGTGGACAAGCTGGCGCGTGAGAACGCTGCCATGCGCCTGGAGCTCGACGCGCTGCGCGGCAAGTGCGAGGCGCTGCAGGGCTTCGCGCGTTCGGTGGCCGCGGCCCGCGGGCCAGCCGCGCTAGTGGCGCCTGCCAGCGTTATCACTATCATCAAGTCCACCCCAGGTCCGGGGTCTGGATCCGCCCCCGGCCCAGACCCCGCCCCGGGCCCGGCTGCCTGCTCCTAGTCCCCGCCCCGCCTCGCCCTGTTCCCCAGCCATGCCCCATACCCCAGCCACGCCCCTCCAGCCTCATCTCTCTCCCCAAAGTGCCTGAGCGCTGTGTCTCTGTGACCAGGTCCCATTTCTTACAGCCAGCAGCCCCTGTGGTAAACACATTCCCTCCCTGGGCCCTGTCTTCTTCATGTAGCCCCTGAAAGTGGGACCTAATGGTCCAACATTGGTGGGTGGAAGTTCTAGATATAGCATTGTCCTTGGTTGAAGCTTCAACTTCTTAGACCGCTAAGAATGCAATACAGAGCTGGCTCAGAGAGGAGCTTTGGGGAAAAAGAGGGCACCCCTTAATTTGGAAACTACTCTAATTGTGCCCATATGCCCTCCAAACCCTCCCAGGATCCAGGACTCGGTTTCACTGTCCTGCTGGGAGACTGCACTGAAGAGATTCCTCCACCTCTGCTTTGGGCCCCAAGGTGGCTGGATTTCCAAAGCTAGGAGAGGGGTTAGACATAACTAGTGGAGCCCAGTTAACAGATGGGGAAACAGCCTCCAGTGGATCCAAGGCCACAATCCCCTTAGTTGAGCTGGAACCAGCAGCTGAGTTTTCTTACTGCTGCCCCAAGACACCCACTGTGGGGACAGTGGACAGGACTGAAAAGGTGGTAAGAAGCCCTCCCTGGCCTGGGAGACAGCTCTCTAAAAGGGAAGGGCAGAGAAGTAGAGGGACAGAGAAGGTGACACAGATGGAGGAGTGGGAAGGAGCTGGCCTGGCTCAGCCCTGGGCTCTCCCTGCAGTCAGGTGCCCCGGAGACAGCCAGCCAGGGAAGAAAGGGGGACTTGGCAGTGACTGCCGTGGCAGATGGGAATTTGAGACAGATCCTGTAGTCCTGCAGCCTAGAGTGGGGTCTTTGGAAGTAAGGGTCCCACCTGGACCCTGTGAGTATCCACTGTGGGGTGGGGGCAGGCCACAGTTATTGCCATTTTCCTGGCAGCCTGCCCCAGCTCCTCCTTGACACTGTCTGTATACAGCTGCCCTCCCCGCTGTTTATTTATTGCACAAATGAATCTAAGTTATTCTCCCCAGCCAGAGCCTTGCTTCCACTCCCTGGAAAAGTGGATGTGGCCCTGAGCTGGACTTTATATTTTATATCTGCAAATAAATCACATTTTATCTTATATTTAGGGAAAACCGGATGGCAACAACAAAAAAATGCTTAAAAAAAATTGCCCGGCCCCTAGAAATTTATTTATTTCTTGACTTACAGTAAGCGAGTTATCCGCCTTCTGTATTTTGTAGACTTTCTGAATAAAGTCAAATTCTCTTTTTCCACAGAGCAGTGTATGTTCTGGGGTATGTTTTGGGGCAGGGGAAGAGAGGGCTTCTGAATAAGGGGCTTAAGATGGGTTCTGTTCAGCTGCACCTAGGACCTCTGGAGGTAGAGGATGTGTCCCCATCACTAGCTATGAGGCAGGGCATGGGCTCGGGGAGAGGCGGTGCCAAGATACAAGGTGCTGAAACTTTCAGTCCTTCTATCTGGGGCACCAAGGGGCCTCCCTGGAAGGCAAACCACCAGCACAGTGAAATTCAGGGTTACAAGAGTCCCACCTAGAGGAAAAACTTCAGATTTTGGAGTAATCTTTCCAGCACTTTCACATAGAGGTCTGATTTTCTGCAGCCAAGTAGAAAGTATTTTCCCCACATTCTAGAAGGTACAGGGTGAGAAGTAGCTTCCTCAGTCCCAACCTGCAGGCCTAAAAACATTCATCCTAGGATATAAACTCACTAGTTTCAACCCAGCCTGCTCACCCTTCTGGGGGACCTTGAGGAGCCCAGTGGACTACGGTCTGCAGGTCAGAGGAGTCAGGGTTTGAATGTAGGTGTGTCTTTTCCTAGCTGTGGGGTCTCTGGTAATAATTTGGTTTCTTGCGGCCTCAGTTTACCCATTTATAAAATGAAGGTGCTATGAGGTCACAGGCGTGAAAAGCCCTAGAGCCTGTGGGGCTGTAGCTTTAATGCATAGATGCTATGTGTATGGCAGCACAGACAACTATGTGGCTGGGAGACAGTGGGGCAGGGGACCATCGGTCAGTCAAAGGTGTAGGGTTTGGGTCTGGGGAACAGGCCAAGCCGCATGGGTTGGCTGGGTCCACAGGGCTTTCTCCTCGTCTCAGACTGGTCCTTGGTACTTTCCCTGCCAGGCCCAAGATTCTGAAATGCTGAGCTCAGGCTGTGGAAAGGGCAGCAGGAAGCTGCGGGAGGGGCCGGCTATTTGCCTCAAGGTTAGAGGCTGGCAGGGATTCTCCCCCACCCACGGCATTCCTGAGTGCTCCTGTCAGCAGGAGGCCAGACCAGGGAGGCACAGCATGCAGTGGAGGGAAGGTGCTCTAGAGGCTGGGCATCGTGCCTCAAGAATCTTGGGCAGACACTGCCCAGGCCCAGCAGCCCCAAGCCCCAGGGAGGAGGATGGGACGGTCTGGAAGGAAGATCTTAGGGAGAACTTCAACCCCTAGTGTGTAGGCCCCACTCACCATGTTGACTAAACCCCTCACAGGGGCCCTGGTAGGGTGGAGAGGGTGGGCCCTTATGACCAGCTGGTTGGGGTTGGGGAGGCATTTGTCCAAGGGGACCTGGATCCTGATTCTAGTCTTTGGCAACATGAATCCCCTCATTGCCTACAGGAAGGGAGAGGGTTTCCGAAGACCGCCCTGCCCACAGCTACTACCCCCACCTCGAGATACAAATGCGGGGAGAGGAAGGAAAAAACCTCACCCACAGGCAGAAGAGATTTCAATACAATCTATATTATCTCATATATATATTTCTTCCTCACTTTATTTGCTCACTTCTGTCACGCATTTAAAATGTCACAGAGACCAAAATAGAACAGCTTTCTGGTGGAACTTATAGCAGTCACATGACAAGATACAAAACTAGGGGACTCTGTCTTCTCATACATCATACAATTAATTTTTCAAGTATCTTTTATGTACAAAGAGCTACTCTATCTGGAAAAAAATTAAAAAAAAAAAAAAGACAAGGTAGGTTATGCATCCTAGGGAGGAGGAGGAGACGGAGCAGTCTGGCAGGTGTTCCTAACCTAGTGTCCCCAGGGACCACTAGCTCACTGCCCCTGAGCTCCTCCCACCCCCAGCCACCATGTGAGCAGACAGTGCTGGGCAGGCAAAGACTAAGGGGGCCAGGAACAAGCAACACACTTTGGCCTGAAGGAGAAAGGAAATGGAGTCGGAGAAACAGATTCAAGAAAGCAAATATAGGGGAGAACCACAGCTGCTCTTAGGCTGTGCCTGCTCTGCCCTCCTGGGCAGCTCCGGGACAGCTGGCATCCCCAAACAGGCATCTAAGAACCGACCTCCAGTACCCCACACAGAGGCCTCTGGACTCCCCCTCCCACCCACCCAAGGGTTGGCTTGGCCACAGGGAAGGAAAAAGGCCAGGAAGACAGCCGAGACCTGACCCTCATCACAGATTCCAGGAGGGACCCTGTTCATTCCAGGAGGGACCAAAACAAAGATTCCACGGTGAATGCCAGAGATGGGGGGCCTTCTCCCTCTACCCACTTCCTACAGCTATTGTAGCCCTAACCCAAGTACTATCTGGGTTTGAAATGCCAGGGGACTCTGTCTATAGGAGCATGCACTTTGTCCTAAGGCTCTTCCTAAACCAGGGGCCAAATAATCCCAGCCTACCTGGGGGCTCCAGCCCTGGGAGGCCCCAGGTATATGGGTATGAAGGCGGCGAGGGAAGGGGACTTGGTGGTCCTGTCCACTCCTGAGGCCTGTCTGAGGGCTCTTGGCCCAGTGCTGGAGATTTGAGTGCCAGCAGCTTAGCAAGGAGCCCCCAGAGAGTGTCTGGGACAGACAGGGGCTAGGGAGGGCGCTTTCATATGTGACTAAGGCACAGAAAAGAGGGGGGGAGGGCAGAGGGGGCCCTGTGTGTACAGGGGCCTGGGAGAGGGGTCCACCACCTCCCAGCTGCATGGCCATCCCTCCCATTCTCCCCACTGGACTGTCTTCCTCTGGAAGCTGGTCTGAAACGCCCGACTCAGACCTTTCTCCTGAAACAGTAGGGAGAAGCTCCAGGGAGAGACCAGGAGCCAGCAGAGGTTCTAGCTGTTCAGCCTGGGAAGGAGGGTGGGGAGCCCCTGCACAGCCCAAACTCCCCCCAGAACTTTATTAAGGACCCCAGCAAGAGGGCAGTGCGGCTGTCCTCAGCAGGCTGAGAGGAAGGGGCACGAGGCAGGCAGCGGTATAGCCATGGCAAGGACACCCAGGGGCCAGAAGCTTCAATAGAAGAAGGCCCCAGAGGCCCCTGAGTACCCTTCTTAGGTGGGACCCATGGCTCTTGGGGTCTGGCTCTGATCCTTGCAGCATGCCAGGTTGGCCTAGGTCAGGAGTGGGATCCACAGGGCATCCCCATTTCCTTCTCCTGCCCAGGATGAGGCAAATCTAGCACTGGACAAAGGTGGACAGGGGAGGGGAGCAGGCAGAAAGAGCCCAGGTCAGAGTATTGCACGGTGTGTGCGGTGGGCTGGGCCTCCTGACTTTGACCAGGAGTCTTGTGGGGAAGGGATACCTAGAAGGCTGCAGCCACTAGTCCACACACAGTATGTGGCCTGGGCACAGCTGGTCCCTGTGTGCTGCACCACAGCCCTCTGTCCCTTGTTGGGGCAGTGTAGGGGCAGCCATGTAAGAATATTCCTGAAGCCTCGTGGGTGAGCCTGGGCAGACAGCATCTGGCTGCTCCTCTGGAAGCGATATGTGTTTCTGGTCCAATAAATAAAGGGCAACACCAAAGCTATGCCAGCTCCCTCTAGCTTGGCTGTGAGGCTGGAGGTGGGCGCCGCTTGCCATCGGCCAAGGTGCCAGCACTTTCCCCACCACGGCCTACACCTAGAACTCGTCATCAGAGCTGAGCAGGAGAGTCTTCTCATTGTCGCGGGCACCACTGAGGCTGTGGGAGCGTGAGAGACTGTGGGCACTTCCGCGCCAGGTAGGCCCGGGCTCCAGTGTGGACTGCTGTGTGTACTGCTGGTAGGCAGGTGAGAAGTTGTGGATGGCATCCTGCACGATGTCATGTGGGTTCATGGTCTCCTTGAGACTGCTGGAGATGCTCTTCATGGGGGCACAGCGGCCTGCAGGGCAGGAAGGGCAGCGAGAGGGAGGCTGCTCAGCCCTTGCCCCTTATGCTAGGGCAGCACCCCCACCCCAAGTCTGTCGTTCAACCATCTCCTCCTGGAGCAGAGGATGGGTTCCAGGACATGAGAAAGGGCAAAGATATGACTCCCATGGCTGGGGAGTGGGAGTGACAAGCAGCCAGGGAGCCCCAAGGAGGTGGCTCAGACGTCAAAGGGTCACTGGCAGCCAGGTCAGGCAGATGGGAAGGGTCCCAGGATGCCCCAAAGAGTCTAGGAGGGGCTCAGCAGTGACTAAATTTGGGTACACTGGGGATGAGTGGCTGGTAGCCAGGAGGGCCTGGGCTCCACAGGGCCAGCCTCCTGCCCCCACACCTGGGGAGAGGGACCAGGGACCAGCCCTGCCAAAACCAGGCTGGCCTACACCCACAGCAGAGTAGACACAACTCATGGGCTCCCTACTCCCACATATGCTTCCTCTCCATCTACTAATGAATCGCCTCCAGGGGCTCAGGCAGAAGAATGCCCAGGCCACAAAGCTGAGCTATAAGGCTCCAACTCAGGAACCCAGTTGGAGTCTGGGTTGAGACATCTGATTCAAACTATGAGCTCTTCTACCCTTCATGTTCTCTGTCATGGAAACATCACTAAATCCCCAGAGATCCCATGAATGAGCTCTATGCCCCTAGAACTCAGCAGGGAACATTCCAGAACGAGAGACCTGGACAGAAGCAGCAAGCTTTATGAAGGGTGGCTCCTGGCAGGCAGGCACTCTGGGCTCTCCCACCCAGGGGGGTCTGTGGGAAGATGAGGACACAGAGAAGGAGCTACATAAAGAGAGAGGCATGCTGGTGACAGTGACCAGAACGGACGTGCAGGACAGACGTGTAGACCCAGAGCACGACCTACCGTAAGGGCCGTACGTTGGCACTGCCCATGGCCAAACCCGCAGCAAAAGCAGGGCAAGGGGGGCGGGGAGAGAAGCAAAGAAATAGAGAAGACAAGAGACAGCTGAGTGAACAATGCCCCCACCCCCTGGCCCACCAATGCGACACACCACATCCTTCTCTTCCCCCGCCCCAGGTCCCATGGGCACCCAGGCAGCTCCAAGAGCACCCTAGGGATGAGAGCCTAGGGATGACTCCTCCCATGTCTGCAAAGGGATCACTACTCCCACAATGCTCACACCAACAGGGACTATCCCGCCTGGCGGTCAGAGTTCATCCTGCAGGTCTAGGTCAGGACACCCCATTCCACTGTTCTTCAGGCATGACTAGAGCTACATATGGACCACATACTTTACGAACCTCAAAACACTTCACAGACAAGGAAACTGAGGCTCAGAGGGAGGAGCTACTTGTGCAGATCACATGACAAAGCTGGCTTTGCACCCAAGCCTAACCTAAGAACTGAGAGGGGCTGGACCCTGGTAGAGGATGGCCAAAGGGTCCAGGACAGCAGTGAGGCAGCTTCCCCCCACCACGCTGCTTCTTGCTGGGTAGGTGTATCTGAGGGCAGTGTGTGGGAAGGCAGCCCCGGCTGACAGCACAGAACCTCTGCAGAGCTCCACAGTGCAAAATGGTCTCTGTGTGGCCCCACCTGGAGCTTGGGGTGGCTCCAGGCTCCATGTCCAAGTGCAGTTATCCTCAACAATGCACGGGCATTTGCTAGATGCTTTCAACCGGGGGCACCAGCTTGAAAGCCAATAGAGGGTCAACCACAGCAACTACAGACTGAGAAAGTGACCAAGGGTTCCCAGCGAGCAAGTGTGTTGGGAGAACAAAGCCAGTGCAGGCATCTCAGGGCCTCTTCCCAACAAGGGAAGGCATAGGGGTAGTTGTGGGGAGGAAGTGGGGCCTTCTACATGCCACTCCACTCACACAGGGCCTCAGGGGCTGCGCTGGCACTGGCGAAGGAGTTTCTTGCTGTCAGCCTCTTGGGAAGGACCCCTGGGTAGGTGTGTTAGACCAGGAGGTTGTCCTCTTCCCAGTCCCTCCTGCCTCCTCCCTGAGTAAGTCAGTTTCAGACATTCTCAGCCTCCTCTGCTTCATCCCCCCTCCATACACACACACACACACAGCCTGGAAGCCAAGGCTGCCCTCCCGGCCTACAACTTCTCCGCTCGGCAGCAAGTCACCCTGGGAGCTCTTAAAGAGTTGGCACACCCAGTCTGCGAGCCCAGACCGATTACTGAGGAATGAGGGTGGGGCTGACTCTGGCACTTTTAAAAAGCTCTCCAGGGCATTTTCCTACACAACTGGGGCAGCTAACCACTGTTCTAGCAAGGATCAGCAGGTGTAAAAAGAAAGCTATTAAATGCTATTACCATCTGAGTCTGTTTCTTAGAAGTAATCAGGGTTTTTTGTTAAAACACACACACAGGCAGTGCCTGTGGCTCAGTGGGTAGGGCGCAGGCCCTATACACGGAGGATGGTGGGTTTGAGCCCAGCCCTAGCCAAACTGCAATGAAAAAATAGCTGGGCATTATGGTGGGTGCCTGTGGTCCCAGCTACTTGGAAGGCTGAGGCAAAAGAATCGCCTAGGCCCAGGAGTTGGAGGTTCCTGTGAGCCACGGCACTCTACCAAGGGCAATAGAGTGACACTGTCTCTACAAAAAAAAAAAAAAGGTACACACATGAACTTCAGATATGAGAGAATTATAGGACAAATGGATAACCAGACACAGTGCTAGGTGTCAGAAGCCCTCAGAAATCTGTCTATTCATTAGAGAGAGACTCTGTCCCCACTTTCTATACCATCTCTGGGTGTCCACACTTGAACCTGCAGGAGACATGTAGGCTAAGCCCCCAGGACCAATTGGTAGTGCTCATGGGAGGGTGGGAGTTCCTCCTTATCCTGCCCCCCACCTTGACCTCTGCAGCCCCTTCCCCACATGTAAACTGGGGATCCCATGACCTGACCCAGCCACACCCATAGGACCCTGTGGGCATCCTGGTTCATACCTTGTGCGTCCAGCCTCTTGTCGGCATAGACCTTGTAGGTGAAGGCATGCCGTAGGGCCAGGGCTGCAAAGAACATCTCCACACAGATGATGAAGTCCTGGTAGCCAGCTGCCACAGTACCCTCACCCACTGACACACGGGCTGAGTGGATCTTGGGGATGGCCCCACACTTCTCTAGGATGGCCAGAAGCATGCCTGGATGGGAAGCACAGGAGTCTGGACCCAGACTGAACCCCTTCCCAGGGTCCTTCCCCATGCTGCTCTTCCCGGATGCCTGTATGCCCCAGTAAGGATGGGAATGGCCACACAAAGCCCTGGCCTCTGGAAACCCTACTCTCCTAGCTCCCAAACAGCTACTAAAATTGAGACATCATAGATTATATGGATCCCCTCATCCAAAGCTCCCCCAGCTCCTGTGAAATTTTGCCCTCAGCAAGTGTCCATTGAACTGAGTCCCCTGGAGCTCCAGACCAGGCTCACCCAGGACAGCCCACAGCCTGAGCCACACAGCCACCAGGATCAGCAAGCAGGAGGACCCAGGCTCAACTGACAAGGCGCACAGGAGGTGTCACAGCACTCTGGGGGGTGGGGGAGAGGGCTCACCCTGCCAGAAGGAGAGAAAGATGACGGACTTGACCATGAAGAACTTGAGGACGGGGCTGTAGGGGCTGAGCAGCTCCCGGGTGGCAAAGTAGAAGAGGAAGAGGGCGTAGAGGGCCAGACTGACAGAGATGTTGTAGATGATGGTCACATAGAGGTAGCCACTGGTGACGCTGCAGGATGGGAACAATGTCTGGCTGGATAAATCCTTGCTGTAAATGGAGCCCTCCCCACACACTCCCGTCTCCAGCCCCCACGGCTCTTAGCTATACTCCCGGAGCAGAGCTCAGGCCTCTAAAGAAGGGCAGGTGATCACAGCTCCAGGACAAGCCAGCTTGCAGCCTCTGCTTCTCTCACAGGCTTAAGCTCTGGGGCCCACACTCCTGATACTGGACACCGTGTGAAAGCCCAACAGTCCATGGCCAAGTCACACCCTCTGACTTCAGTTTGCTCCCTTGCCCTGCTGGGGCTACCATGTGGGTCACAGAAAGTGTGTGTGAGCTCGGCGCCTGTGGCTCAAGTGGCTAAGGCACCAGCCACATACACCTAAGGTGGTGGGTTCAAATCCAGCCTGGGCCCACCAAACAACAATGACGGCTGCAACCAAAAAATAGCCAGGCGTTGTGGCAGGCGCCTGTGGTCCCAGGTACTTGGGAGGCTGAGGCAGGAGACTCGCTTGAGCCCAGGAGTTGGAGGTTGCTATGAGCTGTGATGCCAGAGCACTCTACCTAGGGGGACAGCTTGAGGTTCTGTCTCAAAAAAAAAAAAAAAAAAAAGAACGTGTGTGTGTGTGTGTGTGTGTGTGGGGAGTACTCGCAACCACAGGGCCAGAAACGTGGTTACTGGTGCTAACCCCCAAATGAAGTGTGTGTGAACAATTGACACAGCAGGGGCTGTATGCCCTGGAGCTTGGGACTGCCCCTGACCTCACTCCCTGCCTCAGGTTGCTGCCGGTTGTGCCCTATCCCCTCATGGCACCACTCTGCAGCCCCCATGTGGACACAACTAGCACCAAGGACTCATTCCTGCGTTAGCAGTAGGGTCAACTACAATGGTGGCCACTGCTAAGCTTAGGCTCAGAGGCGCAGGGAATTGTGAGTAGCATGGAACATGGGAAGGTCACTGCTGTGGGGCCCATCTGACAGCCCCTTCCCTGAGCCAGGGCACCACCCTGCACCCACGCTCCTCTTCCAAGAGTAAGGGAGGGCCCATTGCTTACTCAAAGTCCCCATCTCTGTACTTGCCGAAGGCCTGAAGAATTACGGTGCTGACTGCCATGAGTGGCTTCACCACACAGAACTGTAGGGTGGCCTGTTCGGGAGAGAGAAGGTCAGGAGTTGAGAAGGAGCAGGGGTCCTGCTGGAGGAAATGGACACCCAGGTAGAAGAGGTGGGAGAGGGCCTCCTCTTATCCGCCCCATCCACCTCTGGTCTGGTTCCTGGTGAGCAGGGGCTTCTGGGGATGGAGATGACCCACAGGAACACCAGGTGGGGAGCTGGGAGCAGCTCAGAGCTTGTGGACTCCAGAATCCTGAGCTAAGTGTGAAATGCATCCTGGCCAGCTCCTAGCCGTACTAGCCAGGATAGTCCTTGCCTCTTGAGTGCAGAACCACTGGAGAAATGGACACATGCCAGGGTCACTGCTGTGGGGATGCCAAAGCCAGACAGTCAGTACCCTCTTGGAGGAATCCCACCTCTGAGCATTTAGTAAAGGCTCCTAGCCCCCCAAAGAATTCCTTAGCCTGGTGCTCCCATTTCCCTACAGAGGCCTTAGTAAACTCTAAGGGAATCCACAGTGCCCATAAAAACCACCAGAATCACCATTCTCCTGGAAACAAATAAATTTAAGTGACGAGACCCCTTTGGAGAATCTAAAGGCCCATCAGTGAGACGAAGCTAGTATGGCTCCAAGCAGGGTGAGGAGCCTGGTGCAGAAAATGTGACCTGCTGAAGCCTCACTGTCTGCCCTGAGGGGGCATCTGAGGAGTGGAGTCCAGGAGCCGCACCATGGGGCTGCTTCATAGAGAGGCATGTATACCAGACAGAGGTATGGTCCCTCTCTCAGGAAGCCCCAGAAAATTTCCTTGACCCCACACCTCACCTGGAGAAGTGGGACCCGCACCCTGCAGGAAAAAAGGAAGAGTGGCAGTTTGCACAATCCAAGTTATGAGCCTGGGAATGGGCTGGAGCTCTTCTGTGTCAGTTCACTTGGTGCTCCATGATGTGGGAAACACCATCATAGCCATCTTACAGATGAGCAAACTGAGGCACAGAGAAGCTGAAGTGGCATCAGAGCCCAAGCTAGCAGGCCCCAGAGCCATCGCCCCGCTGTACCACTCAACAGTTCCCAGCCAGGCTAGACACCAGGGTCAACTAGGGGAGCTTTAATCAAGTGGCAGGTCTCTGAGCTCTATTCCAGACCTCCTCAGTCGGGCTGGAGTTAGAGGGTGGCTGATCTGGGAATCCCCGCTTTTAACAAGCTCTCCAGAAGATGCAGACACTGGGAGCTGGCCTGAGGATCTCTAAGGCCCGACCTGTGCCTGCCACGGTAAAGGGATGAAGAGGCTTTCTCTGTTCTCTGTCCTCTTACTACCTCTCCCTGTCACTTCCAGGATTGACAGCAGAACATCTGAACACACAGGGCTAGGGAACAATTTACAGCAAGGCCGTGCTAGCTAAGAATCATGAGATCAAAACTTTGTAGACAATATAATCATTAAACAAGGCAGTGAGTCACAGCTGGGCTGGAACCTGGGCGGCTAAACCAACTAGTAAACATTGGCTCTGAATGCCCCACTCTGAGCCCAGGGCAGCTTTAACTCTTTCCCTGTGTTTCTAGAGGGGAGATTCTGAATTTAGAAACATACTAGGAAAGAAGATCTGGAAATAGAACTGGCGACCTGGCCCGTCCAGGTAGATGCCTGTGGGTGTGCCCATACTGAGGGCCTGCATCCCACACGAAAGGGAGCAGAGGAGCCAGCCTCTCTGCAGGCCACAGTGACTTGGTTGTGGGTTTTGTTTCCTCTTGTGACTACTACTGGTGATGCTGGAGAGGCTGACGGAGGCCCTGGGGAGTCCCAGAGGAGATTGATGAGAGGTCACGAAGACTGCATGTGGCTCCTCAGCCCCCACCAGAGACAGGACGCCACAGGCTCTCTGCAGCACTGTGTCCAGTGCTCCATCTGCAGGCTTTCATCTGTTTCTCTCAGCTACATCTTGAGATCACTGTCATTACGGGCAGTGATGGGCATAAAGCTCAGACAGGTTAAGTAAATTATCCAAAGTTGCATAGTTGGAGAACCTAGTATCAGAGCCAGACACCCAGGCCTACACACCCAGCACCACCTCGAGGCCTCTACCCTGGCTACTGCAGACCACCCTCAGGGAGGGCAGCTGAGGAAGCCAGAGAGGCTGGACTGCCAAATGGGAAAGGGGAACAAGACCAGAGAGAAAGCACTGGCCTGTTCTGTCTTGTGTCTCTGATGCCAAAACCCTCCTGCCCTCTAGCCATAGCTGACGAGAAGTTTGCAAACTGAGATTCTAGAATCTCTATGAGCTTCCTCTGATTTTCACACATCAAGATTTGGTCAAAAATGAGCAAGAGTTTGGGGCCAGCTCCTGCCCAAAGCCAAACCAGACATTCCCAGGACACCAGGACTCCCAGCACAGCCCCTCTGAACACACGCTGTGAACATGGTACCTTCCTAACAGTCTGAGGAGGCAGGTGCTGGGAGCTTGGGGGGCTCGTAGGGAAAGGAACCTCTACAGGTGGAGGTTGGGGCAGCCTCTGGGTTCTCCCCACCCCTGCAGCTACTGCTGCAGGACACAAACCCAGACTCTAAGTCCCAAGCCTGTTCCTCCTGACCTGGGCAACTACCCAGGGCACACACCTGTTTGCAGAACCGCAGAAATCCGATGGAGTAAGTTTTTCCCCAGAGGCAGCACGTGCCGTACATACAGCTGGACCTGGAAGAGACAAGTGCATGAGAAAGGGTGCTGAATGAAGAATCAGGATGTGGGAAAGGTTGGGGTTGGGGACAGCTGCCCTCCAGTGCATGCAGACAAGCTGGGCAGAGGTCTGGGGCAGCCCTGGAGCCCAAGGCCAAGCACAGGAGAGCAGGGCAGAGTGTCTACTCGTGCCATGGGCCATGAGGGATACAGGTCTGCTCTGGCCCACGGGGTGACAAAACAACTTGGAGAGCGGTGAGTGGAAAAACAGCAGGAGGGAGAAACAGACAAACAGGAAAGGACTGAGGCTGAGACAGGAAGAGAGAGAGGAGAACAAGCCAGAGGGCCCTCCCCAGAGGTCAAATGAACAGTCTTGCTCAGGAAGTGCGGGAGAGTGCCGCAGGTCAAGATCACAGGCAGAGACAGACTATATGTCCAGCTGACGCCAGAGCAGCTCAAAGAACATAAGGCCCAGGAAAACGGGGTGCTTTGGGGGCTCCCAGGACTGGTCGGACTCACTCGATGGGCTTCCCCCTGATCTCCGCCATGATGGAGCTCTCTCCCCCGAGGTACTCGTAGCACAGGCTCAGGAAGTTATAGATGACCAAGGCTGTGGAAAGTGCCCAGGGAGAACCACTGAAATCAGCAGAGCAGGTCACAGACAGCAGATTTCTACGCAGCAGTGAGATGAAGGGGCCACGGCCACATACAACAGCAAGGAGCACCCTCGGGGACAAAGGGATGTGCAAAGGAGCCCAAAAGGAACACGCAGTTACAGTCCATTGGTCAGTGCAAAATCAGCACGGCTGTGTCACCTTGCTCAAGGTGCACATCTGCACTGGGCAGACCATAAAGGCAGGCAAGAGGGTGACTGCCACCAGAGCAGGACCGTGTGGGGACACTGAGGTCAGGGTGGGTGCCTTGCAGGCTGGCACTGTGTGCATTCCGGGGTGAAATGGTGTTGGCTTTATGATTATTAGTTTTACACACTGTGTGCAGAGACTTTACAACAATATACGTTTCTCCAGAGGGATCTTGGGAGAAGTTCCAAGCAAGAATAAGAGAGCAAAGCCTTCATCCACTCAACAACTCGCACAGGTGAGTGGTGTGTGCACAGCTTTGTAGCTGTGACAAAACACGCGAGGCAGGCACAGATTATAGTGCAAATGTCTTGGGAAGCTCAGCCAGCTCCAAGGTGGGACATACTCAACATCCCCACACAGACCCCAAATCTGTAACAGTGAGTGATGGCACAGTTACAGTCTGCTGCGAACGTTGATCCTGTAAATACAGCCATTCTCAGTAACTAGTCTCCCGATCGGAGGGTTTCTGCTGTGTCACCCTCCTGCATGGCGACAGAAGCACAGGAAGATGCCAGGATGGAGGAAAGAGAGCAAGTATAGAGAGAAGGGGAATGAGGACGAGGACATGGAAACCAGGGGAAGTGTCCAGCAGAAGTATAAGGCTAAGGGACTGTCACAATAGGTCAGCAGAACAGGTCAAGGGAGCCAGGGAGCCCTGCTGACAGAGGGCTCCTTCCCATCCAAGCCCGCCAGCCCCGAAGCACAGGCCCCTGCCCGTGCTCACGTCCCTCCCCAATAGGACTCAATGCTGCCCCTGGACCTCTATGAAGACCCGCTGGTTGGAGTGCCCTCCCTGGACTCCCAGAACCCTTCAAACCCAGCAGGGGTGCTGCGTACTTTGAGAAGTCTCTATCACCAGTGACCGGCATGGACATTAATGCCTTCTCAACCATGGACCTGATCCAGGACACTGCCCAGTATTTCTACCCTGTGTCACACTGAGCTACTATGATCCCCTGAAAGGGAGCCTTCTCCTTCCCCAGAACTTAGGAGTGACTCACCCAGGGCACACCACAAACGTCTGACTGCCCAACTAGACACAGAAGGCCCTGGCAACACATTTTTAGGCAAAATCGGCCTTCAGCAATTAGGAAAGGAATATACAGTATTTGGGGTACTTTAGGCCACTCACAGTTGCTCGTCACCAGGCAGCATCCTACATATAAGTGACACATAGCCCTTGATCATGCTTTGCTGTGACTGTCCCTTCACACACATAATAGCAGAGAGTCTGCAATGTGACTCTACCTGTGTTGAGGCTGGGCTTCAATTTCATCTTCTATTAATGGGGATCACAGGGGCACAGGGGGCTGTGAGGTTTAATGGAGTAGGCGAAGTATTCAAAAGGGCGGCCAGTGCTCAGCAGAGCTCTCTGGGTGCTGGCTGTCCTGGCTGTTACTGTTTGCCTGCTTGCCTGCCTTGCTCAGGTTCAGATGCCCCTTGATGGGTTGGAGGCTGTGCCCTGCCTACCTGGGGTGGAGGCAGCTTAGGATGTCTGGTGATGGCAGGAGCCTCCACTAATCTCCAGAACCCACAATTCACTGGCAAGAACTCTGAAGCAGAGGGAAGGGGTATGGGCACCATGCAAGCCATCTAATGTCAGCCTGATAATGACCTTTGCCAAAAACCACACAAGACCCAGTGGAAAAGATGTATTCACTCTAAGCTGGGTCCAGCTATACTGAGGCTGATGGTATTTCCCAAAGATGGCTACACCCTGTGATGTCTATACCCCTCCATTGAGAGGTAGGGTCTCAATTCCCTCCCTTTGCATCCAGGTGGATCTGGGTGACTTCAGCATAAGTGGTGTTTTATGACATCAATTTGGGGGTCAGAAAAGTCTTCTTTCCTCTGGGACCCAGCCACCATGCTGGGAGGAAGCACAGCTAGTCCCTATTAAAAGCCCACATAGTGGCTCGGTTCCTATAGCTCAGCAGCTAGGGCACCAGCCACAAACACTGGAGCTGGTGGGTTTGAATCTAACCTGAGCCTGCCAAACAACAATGACAACTACAACCAAAACATACCCGGGCGTTGTGGTGGGCACCTGTAGTCCCAGCTACTTGGGAGGCTAAGGCAAGAGAATTGCCTAAGCCCAAGAGTTTGACATTGCTATGAGCTGTGACATCCCAGTACTCTACCCAGGGTGACACAGTGAGACTCTATCTCAAAATAAAAAGAAAAAAGCCACACAGAGAGTCACACATAAAGGGAACTGAGGCCCTCAGCTGACAACCAGCATCAACTCCCCATACAAGAGTGAGCCTTCAGGTGACCCCTGCCTGGCCTTCGAGTTCTGCTGAGGCTCAGACTCCACAGAGCAGGGACAAATAATCCCCGCTGTCCCCTGTCCAAATTCCTGACTTACAGTATCTATGAACAAAATTAATGGTGCCTTATACTAGTATGTTCTGGTCAGATGACTGATTTAGCCTCAGTAAAGGGCAAGTTCCAGGATGAACCAGGATCTCTCACATACCCCCAGTAGTCTCATTCTGGCCCTGTTGCCAAATTCCAGAGGCAGACCCAGCTGGGATGCCACCTCCTCTGTCCTGTCACTATGCTCATGTCACACACTACCTGTCCCTGTGATATATCCCGTCCTCCTAGTACGAGAGGCAGGAGAAAGCAGAGCAAGGAGCCACGGACGCTGTAGCCAGACTGCCTGGGCGTGGGCTGTGGTTCCACCACTCAGGAGCTGTGCCGCCTCACTCAAGTTTTTGAAGAGTTCCATGCCTCAGTTTCCCATCTACATGCCCCATCTACATCTTGGAGGTGTTCAGGGGACGGGGGGTTAATGTGTAGAGCTTTAGATAAGGTTGAGCTCACAGGGAACAGTCCACAGCGTGTGGCCTATTGTTCCCTGTGGACTGTAGACTCCTTGTAGGCAGAAGTCCCGCCCCCAAAGAATCCCAGAGGGCCCGGTGCCATATCCTTAATCAACACTGAAGGCATGAGCAGATAGACAGGCATGCGCCATTGCCCCAGGTGAGGCTGCCGAACTAATAGTGCGGGAAGGCGGGGCAGGCAGGTGCCACTTACTCTTAGTTTCCCTGCTTGAGCCAAGAAAGGAGTCCTTATCTCATAGAGGTGACAGGGCATCTTGTCCCTAGGATCAGACAGGACCTACATGTTTAGCTTAATGTAAGAGACCGTTTCTACCAGGCAGAGACAGAAGGCAGCTGCTCCCTGCCGGCAGAAGAAATCCCGGCTGGCATCTCTCCGCAAACATTCTCAAGGGCTCTCTTCTAACCCCAAGACTTGAGACTTTCTTTCCTCATCAAAGTTCTCTCACTGGGAGCTGCCTGCATAGGAAGTTACAGTCAAGAGATTGCTCTCTACTCAGCCCCCCATCAGCCAATGACTGCCATGGCACTGCCCTGAGGGTCCCCAGGGAGGAGACCACTTCTGTCAGCAGCTCCCAGACATACCCTCTGATTCTTCAGTCACCTACAGTGCCCCATCACACGGTGTGGGACCTGATGGCTCAGGGCACACCAGGCCACTCTAAGCTCCCCTCCTGTGCAGACCTTCAGTACTGAAGCTAGGTGCCAGCCTGTCTGTTACACAAACACTCTGCTTATCTGGAAAGACTTGGGGTATTCCATATTCCAAATAACTGGTGGATGAGCCTTGAAAACTTAATTTTGACCATGTTAGAATTCCTGCTCAGTAAGTAGGGGCCTCAGGACAGTCTTTCATCCCTTCTCAGTGACTGGTCACTCTGGATGGGAATGAGTACAGTGGGCTGCAGAGGGACCTGCCCGGCCCCAAGCTATTCCCTGCGGCTCTCCTGCCCCTCCCTCCAGGCTGTTCTGGCCCTTGCTGTTCCTGCTGAGTCCTGCTTCTTGCCACCCAAAGACTGTTTCTGATCTCTTCTCCACTGGCTCCTCCTTTCTTTCCTCGAATCGACTGAGTTCTTGTAATCTTTGGCTCTAACTGCCAGAGCCAGGGCCAGCAGGAACTCTGGTCAGCAGGTGCCACAGCCAGCCACAGAGTCCTCCTGGCAACAAAACAGCCTTGGCTCATTTGTGGCCCTGTGTCTGTGGCCCTCAGCTGTGTTCACCCAGCTGGACTCTTATCAGAGAAGATGTTTCACTTTAGGACAGACACCAGGAAGCTAAGTTTGTGCAAAATCCAAAACAGGGCGAAGGAAGCATCACTCTCTAATTGTTTCTCCCATGCATGTAAAATTGCTTTCCTGAAGAGGCGTTCACACTTCCCAGGGGGGGAAGCCGGTCCTTCACTACAAGTAGGAGCAACACGCTAACTCGGAGGCCCAGGTGTGAGTTTGGCTGCTGGCCCTTACTATCTGGGTCATCTTGGGCAACTTCTACAACTAACTCAATTTTGTTTTACATTTGTAAAATGGGGATGGTAATATACACTGTAGCAGGCAGCAGAGAGATGAGAACGAACTCACAGTGGTGAAAAATGGGAAGTAAAACTGTGACATGCCACAGAAGGCCCCTGCACCCCTCTGATCATGGAAATCCCCAAGGCTGTCACAGATAGCCACTTCAACCATCCCCTCCTCCCCCAGCTCCCCTGCCCCCGCCAACACTAATCAAACACTAAGTGCATATTAGGGGATGGTTCCCACCTGCCTCCATCTGCCCCATACACCTCTGGCGGCGCATCCTCTGAATCGCAGCCCCAGCATGAAGCAGTGGGACCCTGGGCATGTCACTCTACTTCTCTGAGATTCAGCCCTCTCCTTGGAGAATGGGAACTCTAGCTCTAATTT